TAACTCTTTCAAGTCATTTCCCAACCGTGGTAGATTTTTTAGAGCGGAGACTTCCTTAAATACTATAATTTCCGGGCGAGCGAAGTTCTCCTCCAGAGCTCTTATAATATCGTTCGGGTCCTCTGTAGCCAGCAACAGTGACGCGACTGCATCTCGGGCCGCGCCGCGAAGTGCATTTTGTAACCGACTAATATTTTCAATATCTGAAAAATTGCTTTTGGTTAAATCAAAAATACGTTTAAAATGTAGCCATGTTAAGGCGTCTCCGTCGAAAGGAAACAATTCGATCTTATGTTTATGACGGTGCGAAGTAGCAAGCGCCTTGGCCGCAGCTGCAGTGTCAGCAACAGCCTGAAACAGACTACTCTGATCAAGCTCCGTGGGAATGAGCGGTCGCGTAGGCACGGCCGCCTCGGACGCTTTAGTGACGTTTAAAAATTGCTTCTGATGAACAAAACGGTTAATAGGGGATGCAGTTGACCCAGTGGCCGGCAGAGGTGCCTGGTGGCCGGGAGGCGGAACCATTATTTGTTCGCGCCCTACTGCGGGGATGCTTCTATTAACTGTATTTTCGCCAACGTAAACTGGCTGTCCTAAACTTTGTACCCATCTTTCTGTTCTTTCTACGCTTACCCTGGCAGAACCACTGCGACTGCTGCGACTGCTGCGACTTGCCGCGGCTTCCGCGTCGAGAGCGGCAAGTTCGGCCTGCAGTTCGCCATCCTCTACCTGCTGACGGAGTGCTGCCAGTCGACTTTCACGTTGCCTCTCGCGTTCAGCGAGCTCCTGCTCGTGCTCAAGACGTCGGCGCAGGGCGAGGGCCTCTACGGCGGCCTTTTGAGCCTTAATTGTGGACGACGAGCGTGATGATTTTGACTTAGACGTCTCACTCGGGGCAACGCTGTCTACATGTTGGGAAGTACTAGGTTGCATAATATTATCTTGCACACTAGTACTAGTCGCAGGGTTTGTCGGCGTGATTTTACTTTTACTGCGAGTGATCATTAAGTGAGAAATAAAAATAAAATAAAGCAGTGAAAATGAAAACAAATACTACGAAATGAATGAATAACTAAAGCTACGTAATAAAAATAGGTACGCTGGAAAAATACTGGAGAAGGACCAAAATGAAATGAACAAACCAAATTAATCTCTGCAAATGATAAAACGATGATACAAGTTAAAGAATGATTATTTTTTAATAAAAACAGAAAAATCAAGCAAACAGAAAGAAATAGGTAATAGAACAGACCACGTCAAAAGCAAAAAAGTAAAAAACTACATCACCTATCAAAATAGCAAAGAGGTCCGCAACACATATTATACATATATAAACATCCAGACACTAGAAAAATACCATGTTCATCACACAATATTTTTCCAGTAGTGGGGATCGAACCCACACCCTCTGGCGCAGGAGGCAGGTACTCTACGCACTACGGCATTCGGGAAGTCATAAAGTAAAATAAGTCGCAGAGTAAAATACTTTTAACTTGTGTGTTTACGAATAACTTTTATTTCGACAATCATTATTGTAAGGAGAGTTCGGGCCGCTTCAGAGAATTTCTTAGTGTTGAGCCCTAGAAATAGAGCAACAATAAAAATGTGGAAGGGTCTAGCGTAATTTCTGTATAATAGAAATCACGCAAACTGTTGCTGAAATTGTTAAAATGCCCTTATAGCTACGATAAGTCTTAAAATACACTGATTACTTATCGTAACGCTTTTAAAGTCCTATCAATACTTTCACTTCATTTACTTTTCATATAAGAAGTGGGCAATCCTTGTAGCTTCTTATAGACATATCGGAGACATTGTTCTTCGTTGCCAATTTTTACTGGACGCTGTGAAAATACCCCTAAGTCTTTTATTCTTACAGCCAAAGAGCAGTACTTTCCTTTCTTCCCTAGACTTATTACTTGTCATACATCAACAGCTAAAAGGCGATGAATGAGCAAGTCACTGAGACAGGAGACTTTTTTTGTTGATTATATATAAAGTTACATTAGACACAGAGCTCATGGAATAGCTAGTTAAATCCGCTAGCTAGCTAAACTCTAAGTAGAGTCGCGCTTGTGGACATGCGTGCATTAACAAATTGGAGATTGGCGGCTACGGGTCCAATTACCACATCCGGTTAAAGCGGAAAATCCGTAGTGTATCATTGTATATATTTCAACGGCATTCCAAAAAGTGACATACACATACCCAATATTTAACTTTATTACTTCGAGTATGAACAGATTTCAGCACTAAAAAGTTAAAAATAATACTAAATATAATATAATCTAATCTTAAACATCTAAGTTAGATGTATATCATCATCATCATCATCATATCAGCCGTAGGACGTCCACTGCTGAACATAGGCCTCCCTAATTGACTTCCACTTCGACCGGTCGTTAGCGGCCTGCATCCAACGCGACCCTGCGATCTTGGCTAGGTCGTCCGTCCACCTTGTGGGAGGCCTTCCTACGCTGCGTTTGCCGTCACGTGGTCTCCACTCGAGAACCTTTTTGCCCCAACGGCCATCGGTTCTTCGAGCTATGTGCCCTGCCCACTGCCACTTCAGCCTGCTGACTCGCTCTGCTATGTCGGTAACTCTAGTTCTTCTACGGATCTCCTCATTTCTGATTCGATCTCGTAGAGAAACCCCAAGCATTACCCTTTCCATAGCGCGCTGTGCGACCGCGAGCTTCCTTATGAGGCCCATAGTGAGAGACCACGTCTCGGCACCGTAGGTCATCGCTGGTAGCACGCACTGGTTAAAGACTTTCGTCTTTACGGACTGTGGTATTTTGGACGTAAAGACGCTGCGCAATTTCCCGAACGCAGCCCAGCCGAGCTGGATTCGTCGATTGACCTCCTTCTCGAAGTTGGATTTGCCTTGTTGGACCTTGTGGATGTATATAACCTAAACTAAACCGAAATAAAAATTTAAAAATTTTCAATGCGAGTATTCATATTATACATATATACAAGAATTGCTCGTTTAAAGGATAACAGTACCTGGAGGACCTGAGCTTTGCTCGTTGTTACTTTTTTTGGTAAATCGGAACTTTAAAAAAAAGGGAAAAAAATAACAAAATAACAAATCGACAAAAAATAAAGAAAACAATGATCTGGAATCGAAAAAAAAGAAAAAAAATAAGTATGTAAATGATCGTGACACGAACCACGCGCTTCTGTTTCGGGGGCGCCCGATAACCGACCGAGCTATTATAACATTTTATCGTCACATTCGAATGATATTTTTTATTCCCTGAAAACAGGTATAAAAGGACATTTTCTAAAAATGAAACCTAGCTAGATCGATTTTTCGCCTCCGAATCTACGCACATACTAAATTTCATGCATATATATACATATATATATATTATAGAGCCCTGATAGCCCAGTGTCCGGGCGCTCGTCTTTAATTCAATATACTCGAGCAACCTGAGTTCGATCCCCGGTGCCGGCACCAAACCTTCTTCCCCAACGGTTATCGGTTCTACGAGTTATATGGTCGCCCCATCGCCACATCAGCTTGCTAATCATCTTTTTTTTTACGTGGGAAAAATCCTTCATGGATCCCCCGCCGTCTTGTGGGTAGGCAGCAGGGATATGTGGGAGTTACACGTACCCACTAAAAAACCCACGTTGCACCTGCGCTATCGCTTTGCCGGGGACATGGGAACACGAAAACGCAATCTTACGCGAACCCCGGCGCGACTGTGTCCTTCTCAAGCCTCCTCTCCCCGGGTGTTAGGGACACCCGGTCCAGCCAAAAGGTGCCGAGTCGGTGCATTGAACACGGCACCCCTCTCAAGCCCTCCGCGGGGCAGCAGTTAGTCCCACATCTGTCGCCCCGGGGCTTGCTATCAGGGGGGAAGGTTGCGCGCGTAGGCCAGCCTCCTGCGCCCTGGTCTCCGGCGGCGGATTTCCAGGGTGGCAGTTGCCTCCCTTTCCCTCTCCGCGGCCTTCTTCCGGGTGATTACGTCCTCGCAGAATGCAAGGACGGCACCCCACGACCTCTCGCTGTCCACCATAGCGCGAACCACGGCAGGCAACGAGAGATCATGCCCCACGATAGCTGTCAGCTCTCGGCGCTGCTCCCGCCAGGCTGGGCACTCCTCCAGTACGTGTTGGGCCGTCTCCCCGGCACATACGTCGCAATGGTGGCAAACCACTGTGGACTCCCACCCCGCCAAGCGGCACAGGTACCTCCCAAAACAGCAATGTCCCGAGAGAAACTGCGTCGCCCGGTAGGCGAGGGTGCCGTGACGCCTGTCCAGCCACCGACTGAGTACCGGACGTATGGACTCTATGGTTCTTAGGCCGGCACTGAGGTGCTCCAGCCTCTGCTCCCAAGCTTGCTAATCATCTGAGCTATGTTGGTTACTTTTGTCCTATTAAATATGTACTGTTCTTAAAAAAACTGTTTTATTTAAACTATCCGATGAAACTAAATAGACGTCATATTTGATTAGGAGCAAACATAAATTAAGATGATCTAACATAAAAAAGATGAAACATCATTTAAAATGTTTGTTCTAAGTGTTCTTTAAATCGAAAATATTTATGGCCTAATATTTCATGTATAACAATACTTTATTTAATTTTACCTTGTATTAAATCTGAAGAAGAAGAAACGTTTATTCACGGTCTAAGCACAATAGATACAAAGAACACTTAAAAATAATAATGTAACTACACATTATGTAAAATAATCTATCCGTAAATCCGTAAATCATGAAAATTATTCTATTTCATTGAAGTACTAAGCTATTTCACATAGATTTACTCAATTACCTTAAAAATGTTTTAATTTGCCAACGAAATTATGGTAACAAGGGTGGTAAAAAAAAAACAGTAATAATTTTCTATAGTATACTTCGGTTCACATTTCCTCTATACTTTTATAATCACTCAAAATAAAAACGAAAATAGTGGTATTAACTATTTTGTACAGGCAGTGCAAGTTTGTACTAGGTCGGTATCGGAATTACATTAGATTAGGCTTGAGTCTTCTTCAAGTATTCCGCTGGTGGGGGGTGATCAGCGATGTACTGCAAACTGCGGAGGATCAGCTCAGGAATTGCTGGGGGTACAGGGATGGAGTCGCCCTGTTGAAAATATAAAAACATTTTAAAAAGCTAGCTCGAGAACTGGTAAAAACATAATTATAGAACATTAATGTAATTCAACCAAATGAATGCTATATTAAGCAGTCTATCAAAAAGCTTGTTGTAAGGACTAAAACAGCGAAGATTAAGGGTCCTTTTGAAGCATGTAAGATCTATGGTGGGTGAGATAATCTCTAATAATACTAAAATCCACAGTATATCGCTCGGTACCCGATACAATCGTAAGTCTGACATTCCAATCCTATTTGAATCGAAGGGAGGAAAATCCAGACAAAAATTCACAAGAAAAATATGAATATTGAATGTATGAGTAGATTATCGCATCAAGATTTGAATGCACTATCTTAACGTGTTTCTCTTTTACAAATTACTTATATAGTTATACCTCAGCACGGTAACCGTTCTCGTCGGCTTGGTAGACTAGCCTGACGGGGGTACCGTCGGGGGCGGTGTAACTGAAAGATCCCCTGACGTCAAGGCTGGCAGCTTCCTGTTAACACAGTATAAACTTTACATCAAAATGTCTGGTCAAATGGTCAAATATGACCTCCTAACATCGTTACAAATAATGAATAAATCTAAGATATGTTTCAGTTGAGTACTAAAGATTTTTCAGTAGTAGTAGTTGTAAATCAATTTGATTAATACCCGAGGTGACAAACAAAACTTTTAGTGCGTTATCCATACTAATATTATAAATGCGACTGTCTGTTTAGCTTGAGCTTGAAGTAACTCTGACTGTCTGTTTCGCTTTCACGCCAAAACTACTGGACAGATTTAAATGAAATTTGTTACACAGATAGTCTAGAGTCTGAGAAATGACATAATATTCTATTTTTTAATTGGAATTTTTTTTAAAGAAAGATATTTATTTAAGGGCTTCAATGCGACCGAAGCCGCGGGCGAAATCTAATATTTAAATACTTTCGTTGATATAACATCATGTCACTTACGGAGTTCGGGTTCTTAATGGTGCCCTGTGCCTCGCCAGTGATGCCATTTGCGGTTTCGTAAGCGTATTGGTACGATCCCTCGGGATTGATTTCGTAGTCCGAGCGGACAATAGGTGCGTTGGCCTCGTCGGTTCTGTACGACGGGGCAACATCAGCGCTGGCCAGCGCGACGGCGGCGAGAACGATAAGGAATTTCTAGGGATAAAATAATCAAATAAATATAAATTGGTAAATTAAAAGAACACAAAAATGTACTAGTTGAAAACACAATAATTTGATAACAAAATTAAATTGATAACTTTATCATATTTGATTTTTTAAAAAGATATCCAAATGGACCAACCATTTTAGAGTGGGTTAACAGAGCCTGATTAAGTGACAGTCTGATTTAGAACGGATATTCAACGTCTTTATATAGGTCTAGAATCGAGATGCGTATTAATTATTTTCTGGTTTTTGTGCGAGGTTGTCGCGTAAGTTCAGATTATACATTTGAATAAGCATTTTTGAATTATAAATGAAGTCAATCTTCTAAATGGCTCCTGCGTTCTAAATGTAATATATAAACAAAGTTTGTAAACTTAAAGGGGAAAATGAAAAATATCAAATAGTTTCAAGAACATTTTCACATGAGAAGTACACTTATACTTATTTTATATGAGTTAAGAATTTTTTTTTTATGTTACAGTGTGGCAAACGAGCTGGCGGTTAACCTGACATTAAGTGGTAACCGCCGCCCATGGACATTGGCAACACCCGTAGGGTTGCAGAAGTGTTGCCAACTTTAAATAAATTGGGAATCGAATTAGTAAGCACACTTCAACGTTTTTGCAATGACGTATCGTAAACTTGACATCGGTTTGTATGCCTGTAAAAGATGAAGCTAGCTCATTTGCTGAATTGTATCCTAGGACTTTTGCTGATTACATTTTTCAATATGAATAGATGCCAATATTTTTTGGTTTGATTTCTTGGTAGACGTCAAACTCAAATCACCTTGATAAATTATCAATTATTTGAACATATTTTGAGAGACGTACACGTGAACACGTAAAGCATGTCTGAAATTTCCTATAGTGATCGAGATTTGCAGCTTCCCTGGGCTTGAGCTGTTGTGCTCACCTCTTGAGTTCCAACATGTTACTTACCTACTTAAATGACCATGATGTTTCTATAGACTCCTTACGCTGGTATGGATCACTTTTCGAAGATGACATTTGCAGTGCTTTCAGAGAGATACGAGTAAGGTCCTAAAAGATAACAAGAATAAATCATTAAATGTAACAAAAAATCCATCTGCATTAAATATTGTAACTTTATTCTATTTTTCTTTTTTGACAGACACTATATTCAAATAATATACCTCCAACTAAGACGAATGTAATGGCACTTCATATGTTGGTATTAGGGTTTTAAAGCGTGACAAAGCACTATATAAACACGCTCGAAAAACATAACTCTGCTACAGTCGGGTAGAAAAATAAATAATTTTTGGAACGATACGTCCATACCGAACCTTCATCCCCTCAATTCAAATGATGATTACTATTATAGGATAGCAATTAAGTTTGGCAACTGCTTCGTTAATAAAGATAACTACAAAGTTACAATGTGCTCTTTGCATTAGCATATCGTGAATTCTATTTATTAACAGATGTTGGCATTTCTCACTTTTATCGTTTTTATTGATAGTCATTTATATGTTAAAGTTCAAGGCGGCTTATGTTGCGGAATAATTAAGTAACTCACCTAATATTTGTTGGGCTGAACAAATATTTCACAGCAAGTATTTATTTTATTCTAGAAAATTTTAACCACTCATTCGTTGAGACACATACATATATACCAACGTCTGTTATTTTATTTGCATGTAAAGATACTTAACACGGATCATTTTATTTTAAGTTATCGTAACTTAGCATATAGAGCCGTGATAGCTCATTGTCCGGGAGCACACTTTTAATTCAATATACTCGAGCAATCTAAATTCATCCGCCGGTGCCAGCATTAATGAAATTGTTTATTTTAAGTACAGACTTATCAGGTGCGGTGAAGGAAAACACCGTGACGAAATCTGCATATATTCGAAATAATAAAAATGATTCGTAGATATGTGAAGTTTGCCCATCTGCAGTGGGGTCGCGTGGTGGACTATGTCTTAATGCCCTCTATATAAAGGAGGTATTTGCTCGGCATCAAGACATATACTGTTACTTTAATTTACAATGATAAGAGAACGAAACACGTTCTCTTATCATTGTAAAGTGGTAGGTCACTAAATTTGGAGTAATGTAAAAACCAAGACAAAATTTACGAAGCTTTTTGTAAGCAAAATTGCATTTAAAGAAGATAAAATTATTAAGTGAAGGAGTAACTTCCTACTTCACAAATATGCATATCAGGTAGGTGTTATGATCAAAACGAAGCAATAGATTAGTAAATGATACTCGATAGTGATCGCGCTCAATGTCCCATGCAAGGTCACTTGTAAAGTAAGGTATTAAGGCATTATGTCAAAAAAAATATTGGGTTTTCCTTTTCTGCTTGTTTGATTTTTATCACGCAAATAATTGGAAAGCATAATGTTCAGAAAGACACGAGATTTAAAATTTAAACATATTTTTTTATTGCCATGCAAGGCTTCGCCGTAGCTAGTCAGTCTCGTTCAGATATTTAACTGATTTTGCGGTCTTAATTAGGTGCAATTTAATAGTTTTGTTTAAACTCACGTTTGGATTGTTTACTTGTGGGTATTGAAATTTAAATTGAAATTGAGTAAATTACAACAAAAATGCACAAAAACTATTACAAAATATTTACTTTTACAACACGAACTTTAAAATTGCATCAAACAAAGCATTAGCATGTTGAGGTCCGCTGCAAAAATCTGTGCAATAAATACGTGCCTTTTGGCATTTACAGAAGACCGTGACATATAATTTTTTATGGTTTTTCCTGAGAAACTATTTTATAAAAGGAATATAGTTTATCGAAATTGTGTGTATTCTTTTATTTCGATTTCCTCTATCAGGCCATTATGAAAAATTATGAACGTAACTGCCACAAGCAATGTTTCGATGCTTGCAATGTAGTACAAGATTTTGAGTCGATCGTAAATATTAGTAGTTTTGAACCATCTTATATTTACACTAATAAATAGAGAGCCGGTGGTTTTGTTCGGTTATACAGCGAAAACTACTGAACCGATTGGAAAAATGCTAGATAAGTCGCAGCGTATTTCGCATTTAGAAACCTTTAGTATATGATATGTTGGTGACTTATAAGACTTGGGAGCCAATATTTTTTGACTTAAAGAAGGTGGTATGACCCAGCAAAGCGGGCGATGATCAGATAGTATATGTATATGTCAAATATGTATGGGGTTGTCCCCATAGTATTGTTACTATTTTAGGTGACGATCGAGCATCGGATTCAGATCTTGGGCTCTAGTCCAAGGGGTCCAACAACCAGGTTCTCTAAACACAATTGATTTTCTCCTTACCAGTTCATCTTGGCATTAACAAGTGTATTAAAATGTAAATTATGTGGCGCATAAATTGAATGTAAAAATCCAAAATTGTATTATATGTTACAAAGCTAAACAAAGGTCTTCTCTGTACAGAGAGCATAATGCGCCACGCGAAGTCACTACAAAATGCAAACCTCATAAACCATGGAAAAATATTGTTTGAAAATTATCTCGAGGATGATAGTTTTACCCACAATGTTTTACTTCACCGCCTGGTACCCTCTCTCTAACAAAAGAAATTATTATCCCACATGGTACTGATTTATAATTTACTCTTTTTTGCTTGAAAGGCATGTCACTTTCATAAATGTACACAGTCATATTTACTTGAACAAGTACATATATGAACAGTTTTAAATATCACAAAAAACTCAATGTGATGGAGTCTGACATAATATTACTTTACAAAAACTTTTATTTGTTATTTAGCAACATATTGTTGTGTACATTGTAATATAAAGATAATCATCATAAAAAATTAAACAACTGCATAAAAAACAAAAAATGTACAATTTATTGAAATAAAAAGAAAAGTTGTTGGGGCAAAAATGATGTCAATTTTACATCACATACATAAATGCGACATCCTAAACCACTTGGTGTGTTCAGAACAAAGTCGTGGCAAATCAGTCTTTCTTAGACCTTTACATAGGGTTTTTCGGTGTATGGGTGGGCGGCAATATACTCGAGAGCGCGCAAAATGTAGTCGGGTATGGGGATCGGTGCTGGCGGTGTTGGAAGATGATCACCCTGTGGACATTAATGCAATAAGCTTATTAGTTGGTTTTGGGATTTTTTTATTCGACATACAATATTTTTTTTTTACTGGAAACGTAAGAAGTCTTTAGTTCAACTCTTTAGAGTGGTGGTTACGAGACAGGAAATTTACAGCACATTATTTCAGCAACCCTCTCTCCCTAACACGACTGTTTGGTCGTGTTTGGTCGTGTTAGAGAGAAAGACTATATTAAGATTAAATACAAATGATAGAGAGTATTTGGTGATAGCTCAGAGTCCGGGCGCTCGCCTTTCATTCAAAATACTCGAGCAACCTGTGTTCGCCCCCGGCGCCAGCACCAATGAAATGTTAATTTTAAGCGCTGAATTATCATGTGCTCAGCGGTGAAGGAAAAATCGTGAGGAAACTTGCATATTTTCGAAATAATTAACAAAAAAAATATATTCCGAAGGTATGTGTAGTCCGCCAATCCGAGGGGGGGCCGCGTGGTGGTCTATACCCTGATCTGTACAGAGGAGGCCTTTGTCCGGCAGTGGGACACATTTAGGCTGATACTATACAATGTATTATGTTGTTACCTTTGGGTGGTACCCAGTCTCGTCAGCTGTGTAAACTGTCTCAATCTTTTGTCCGTCGGGTGATAAATATGAGACCGAACCTTGTACTTGATGAGCGACCTCATCCTGCAAAGGAAATCAATATTAAAAAATATAATAATAACACAATAAATAAAAAAGTATGTGTGTACTTATGTACGCACGTAAGAAGTTATACATCTTTAGCATTACAACAGAAAAGTAACTAAAACTGTTATTCCCTGAGCCAGTACTCTTCGTTTGCGAAAAAGCCATTAAATAACATGTAATTATGTATGTGTCAAAGACTTTTATTGGTTCCCATGGTAATACCGTCCAGATTAGCTGTTCTAATTTATTATATCAAATTATGCATACACTAATCCATTGTTTGTCCTTTGTTCAGGTTACTCAACTTGATGCGCGTAATAGTCTACCTACCGTACAAAGGCCAATATTACCGGCTAATCTCATTCTTTACTAACTGTTTTATTCAACCTTGACATTGGCAGAATCATCAAGTTATTCCTGATGGAGCCATTATACTAAAATTTGAATTGTATTGAACCGTCCAGATGGTTAAAGTTGGTCGCTTTGCAACGAACTTCATCATGTCGCTTGTTCACTGTCGGTGTAAAAATTTTACACTCATAATTTTTTCTGAACGCGCCAAAAGAAGTGTAACTTGAAACAAAAGTGCCAACTACATACATGTTAAAAGATTCAGCTAAACTAATGCTAAAAAAGGACTTAGTAGCCAAAAGACAATTTTACCTTGTTCAAAACTTTTATCTGTCCATCGACGTGGGCCGAAATACCGTTCTCGGTTTCATAGATGTACTGGTACCCGCCCTCGGGGTTGTGTTGATAGTCGCTTCGTAAAATAGAGGCCTGTGGATCTGGCACCACGGCGAAAGCGCAACCAATGACGCACAGTGCAACAACGAGGGATTTCTGCGAAATTACTCAATTTTATATAAGCTTCTGACATATAACATTAGCCTCCTGATGAAGTAGATACATTTTTTGATAAGCTTATAATGGTCATTGGACCTAAAATAAGGAATACGGAGTATATGAACAACAAGGCCGCTCTTTCTCGAAACATGATGTCTGAATTAAATATAAATACAATTGATGTTTGTGTAATTTGTGATTCACCTCTCGAAATTTAACTTCGAAGCAGGTAAAATTCGAATTAAGACAAGATTTTAAGTTACTACTTCTATTCTCTGTGAACCACGGCGTTTATTCATTGAATAAATTATTAGGCGTTCAACTCTTGTCACATTTACGAAGGCATGACATTTAAAACGTTGAATTCCAATTTGAAGATTTCTAACATAAATTATTGGTTACGTAATCGCCGTCGGAAATTGACACGTAAAAATTCACAGCAGGATTAAAGGAGCCAGGATACAAGATTTTAATCACACATGTACATTCGATTTAAATCGTAATTTACAATTATTTGATATAACTATTGTCTTACTCGAAGCTTACCATTTTGAATACCTTCACGTTCTACAGATGAGACGGTATAATTGTGTTTTTAGGAATAAAATCCTTTTATATTTTTAGGAGTGTACAATGATATCATGGCTCCGTCTGTATTGATAGAAAAGGTCATTTTTTTTTGTATTTTTTCCATACCTTTTACCGGCTCTATTCACTTGACATTTGGCCGACCATCTAAAACACGTTTAGATCGTTAATTCTAAGCTAACCATTACGACCCGACTTCACTCCCACATTAATTAAATGTAATCACTAACAGATGAAGTTGTAAAAACGAAACATCAAGGTTCATTTAATGATACCAATACAATCCAAGACGATACCATCGAATTGCATCCTTGACATCTAATTTCCTGCATTGAATGCTGAACGTGATATTAACATTTTTAGCGAATTAATTCGTGGCTTCATTAGTATGTATGTGGATTATAATTATATAACGTAGCATCGAAGCAGCAAGCGATACCTATAAACTGCATGAATAATAGACAGACGAAAGAATTAATAAGCTTGATATCACTTCAACTATTAAATTTTAATATGCGTAAGATAAGATTGAACATCATCCCACGCAGGGCAAAAGCCTCGCCACAGAGGTTTGAACTTGTAACCTATTGATATTGGATTTTTCCAGGCACACCACTAAATATCATTATTATTATGTCTAAGAAACTAGATACATTGAATTAATTAGGCTCCACGTGAAACGTCTGAAGACAAAAATTGTCAATGACCGATAATAACATCATTTTTAAAGCTTATTCTTATTAATTCATCATCATTAAATGTTGAATACTTTGCCCTGACTTTACGATTCGTTTTGGCCCGTCCTTGTTACATTGAAGTTTTTTTAAATGTTATTATCTACCAAGCTTCCATTATAAATATGAGGTCCCAAGTTCATGATGCCTTTTTTTGATTACCTTAGAACGACGTATAAATAATAATGGCTTTGGTTTAAGGCTAAAGATGAATATTATCAATTTTTCAAGTACAGCATAAAAGTTTAGAATTTGAAGTCCATGATTAGAAATTTTAAAATTATTGTGTAAACTCTCACTACTAGGTTTTCACTTATATCAATAAGTGAAAACCTAGTAAACGACATTCTTATACATATGCGACAAACGCATGCTGTATAAACAATATACAAAGATAAGTTATTTTAACCTCAATGAAAATCATATTTTTCATTTTGATCATAAGATCATATTGCACATAAGATCTGACAACATAAATACATATTTAAAGAAATATTAAAAACATATTTACAAATTGTTATGTTGCTTGCCTTTACTAAGGTCAGATCATGTATGTACATATAATATATTTAACTTGTCCTCAACTTGTGAAACCCACTTTTGTGAGACGGTCTCGAACCCACGAATTAGACACGTGTCGCACATAATAAATGTATATTTCATTGAAATTCCTCGGGCGCGTCGTTTACATAAAAAAATATTACACTGATGATATAAGATCGACGATATTATTCAAAAGAAGTCAAAAGTAACATATACTTGAGTTTCTATATTTATACCTGACACTGAATGATAAAACTAGTTGCGTATTTATGATGATGAGAAATATCTGACTTTTACATAAACTGCATCAAATTTGGAATAAACACAATATCGTGGAGAAGCTTCTTATTTGCATTTTTAAAGACAGGTCTAGTCAGGTCGTAATACGTATAGAAAAAAATACCAAGTGTAGAAAATGTATCTTACATACCGCATATCGGTACTGACTACTAGGCGCTTTATACATTTTATATATTAATACGTGAAGCAAAAACTTTGAAATATAGATTTCAATTAGACAAATGATTATATAATTATATCAATAATATAATTATATAATCAGTAATGTGGGATATATTTAATTAATTTCTTTCAAAGAATTTTTTAAATTTCTAATATGTTAAATACAAAATTATAAAATGTCTTTACCACAGAAAAATCTCCTATGAGTACAATTTAACTCTAAATCATTATTATGGCAGGTACCATTTTATGTTTTTACTTTTTGTATTAGTTGATTATTGTTGTTTCGTTTCCTTAAATGTAATCGTGTTAGTTTCATTTATAATATCTTGGAGGGTACAGTGTTTAGGAAGGCAAGGCAAAAAATAACTTGTGATGTATAAAGTCAAAAGTTTCACTACTAAAACTGTTTTGTATGTATTTTATCATGTCTGTTTTGAATAAAATTATATGAACCTATAATTACTTGGTCTCAAAAGAGAAAGTTATTAAAATTTATAAAGAAATGTTTATAAAAGAAAAATTTTGAGAATACATTTTTAGTATAAGATTTCGTTAATTAAAATTTCAAACAGTTTGGATGTGACACGGTCAACAAGCTGATAGTAAAGTTTTGATTTTGCAGAATCGACGGAACTGAGCGAAGACAATTTGTCAGTGCATTACATAGCCATTGAGTCTGGGTTGGTAAGCCCAATTTCGCTTTTTAAAAAAACGAAGCCATATAAATGCCTATTTAGAATACCTGACTAGTACCTATGTCATTCATGTATGTACATGTAAACATTGAAAATTCAGTTTTCTTTTTTATCTAAGAAGGTTGCAAGCGAGCTGGCTGGCGGTTCACTTGATGTTGAGTGATCATGATGATGAATTTGCAACACCCGTCGGGTTTCAAATGCGTTGCTAACTTTTAACAAAGTGGGCCCCGGTTACCTCAATCGGCAGACGAAACGCAGAAGAAGGTCGTGGTACTTCCCTGGACGGCAGCAAAGAGGATATTCATGCGACAGTAGAAACTGTACCCTATCTCAGCTAGCAGCTCTGTTACCTTGTGGTCACTGTACCAAAATGATCTCACATGAGGAAAATGATCGAGTGTTTGGTATTTTATTTAAACTTCCCACAATCTTATTTGTAATGTCTGAATACGCCACATAATTGAGAAACAACCGATTTTTTTCCCTGCAACTATGTATCTAGGTGATTCATGTATTTAGTCTTGTCTATCAAAAGGGCAAAATCAATTTATCAACCATTGTCTTGGATTTTTCGAAAATTGAATAGGGTAAAATAGACCCTACAACACTGCCTCCCGACTGAGCCAACGAAATTTTTAAAGTGAGCTACATCGGTATACCTTTCATCAGAATCTTGTAAAAAAAATTCCTAAATTGTCTTTAATTTCGTCCTCTGCTCTTTATAAATTTTATTATTTTATTCAGCGTTTTATTCAAACATTTAAAAATGGGACACCCATGTTTTTAAACGTTTGAGGTTGCGTCAAAGTTGTTTGATCAAGGTTTGTTCTTATATCAGTTGTACAGATGAATCAATAACATTCATGACATCTTATATTTCTGTCTTTCTTTAGTGTGAATTAACTGGTCCACCATTTTTAGAAAATTTAAATTGTTTATAGTGCTAATCTTTGCACTTAAGATTGAACATTAAAATATGTAGAAAAAGTGCGAAAAGATTGTGCGAAAAGTTGTTTGTATGCTGGAAAGGATATAACAATAGATAGCGCCAAGGATTGCTTCAAATGCTAAGAAAACAACGTAGAGGAATGCGTTAAGATTTTCGTCGGTGTGGTAATCAGCCGTTTAGCTCAGTGGCTAGAGCGTCAGGCCGCGAATGCCGAAGACGTGGGTTCGATTCCCACAGCGGCGACAATCTTTTCGCACTTTTTCTACATATTTTAATGGTCCACCATTTATCAAGGTGAATTGGTTTCTTCACTTATCAAACGAAGGAACAATGCCATTCAAGCTCATCCCGCGTCTCGATTGTAACTGTCGGTGCCAGCCCCATCCTCTAGAACAGAATCCGTCACTCGAAAGGCACGCGTAAATGCCGGTTCCCACGCCACTGGTAATTCCGTGCCGGTGATAGAATTCTGCTACTTCGTTTAAACATTGATTTCCATCTAAACCGTTGGTTAGGTGTAGTTTCAAACGGTGTAAACTGAAAAAAACAGTAAGCTGGGGTCCTATTATTGCAGACATCTAAGATATAACTTTTCTTACTTTAAAAACTTTGTTTGAATTGTAGCAGCAAAAATTTTGCATCAGTTTGACTACATTTTAAGTTACATCTAAATGTTTATGTAAAATTAAAAGTAAAATACGAACACCATAGGTTAAATCTCTAGTTTTCAAAATGTTATTTGAGAATGTATGCTTGCTGTAAGGAAAGCACCGCGACCGCTTAGCTTAGTGGTTAGAGTATCGGGACACGTAATCCGGAAGGCGCAGGTTCAAAGACCGGCAGCGGCGAAAAATTTTGCTACAATTTTATCTATACATATTTAACCACTATCTTTTTGAAGCAGCATGAAGATTTATAACATCATATAGATGTTTTAAATCTTCATGAGGCTTCATAAAGATAGTAACACTTTTCACTTCGTTATTAAATGACCTAGTATCTAGGGTGGCAAATAACACCTCGGTTCTATAAAACGTTCGGGTAGTATGAGATTTGTTTTATTTTATTTCTATTACTAGTCTCTGAAGTCAAGTTGAAAATTAAAATGTCAATTATTTGTACACTAATCTGTTCTACAATTTATCTATTCTATATAATATTCACCATTTAATCACCATCATGATTTCGTCGTCCTGTCCTTACCCCACCTATGTGGGGTCGGCACAACATGTAAACGGTTTTCGCTATAATATTCACAATTTACTTCTTCTTCTTCTACCTGGCATTAATCCCGGCTATTGCCAGGGTCTGCCTTCCTACTTAAACTTCTCCACTTTGCCCGGTCTTCGACATCCGCAGGGGTCAGTCCATTGGCTCTCATGTCCTTTTCCACGACGTCCAGCCATCGCTTCCTTGGGCGTCCAGGGGGTCTAGTTCCTGGGACAGGTATATGAAGGCATATCCTTCCGACATAGTTTTCCAACTGGCGTGCGACATGGCCATACCATCTCAGGCGCCGCTCTTGGAGTTTATCCGCTACGTCACGAACCCCGAGACTGCCTCGAATGAATG